GCCTGTGGGGCATTTTCTTAATTAGTGATTCATGGGGGAGGACCCAGCCTCCTCTGGGCTGGTGGTCCTGGGTTCTGTAATTGAACAGGCTGAGAATGCCATGATTAGCAAATCAGTAAGCAGCAACCCTCCATGGTCTCTGCATCAGCTCCTGCCTCCAGGTTCCTGCTTGCTTGAGTTCTTATCCTCACTGCTTGTGATGATGGACTGTTCCTGGGTACTATGAGTGAAAGAGAACCATCCCCAAGTTGCTTTTGATCATGGTGTTTCATCATAGCAACAGCAACCCTAAACAGGACACAAGTTACTAAATGCTTTCTTTTATAAGAGTTGCTGTGGTCTCAGTATTTCTTCACAGCAATCGAACACCGACTAAGACAAAACTCAAAAGAAGATCATAAAAAGAGGTCACTCAAGATATGAAAGAGTATGTCTGGTAAAGGCTTCCAGAATTTAGAAGGCAAGGAATAGGTCTTTTTGTTTTATTTTTGAATTTCTTTTCTTTTTGTGATTTGTTGAAAATGAAAACCTAAGTACTTTTTCTTTGGCTGAAAGATTGTATAAACAATGATTATTAATCTGTTTAGGAAAATTATCGAGTTAAAAATGGTAAATACCATGACCATAGGCCCACCAGGTGCATTCTTTCTAACTTGCTTTGTCTGGCGGTTAGAACAAGGAGGGACAGACATTGTTTTACACTACTGTCACTGAGGCTGCCACCATCAAAGGATGAGGCCGAAACTGCTTCACTGTTCTGCCTCATAAACCACAAAAGACTTCCCGTGATGTCAGGCAGCCTGCAATAACACAAATGGTGGCCCCCAAATTCCTATGTCTGATATAAGCTGCCATTATCAGGCAATAATTATTTCTTCTTCTGAGGAGTCAGCTTGCCAATCACACTGACATGCTTTCAGTTTGTGTCAATGGTACACATTTTCCTTTTGCATTTCTGCAGGAACAGTCTCTGACTGGGGAAGTTACTTTCAGCCCCAGTCAATGCCGTGTAGGAAACCTGTCTGGCTGTCCCTTTGCAAAGCAGCTCTGTCTCCGAGGCATCAGTGGGAGAATAAAAATATCTTGACAGCTCTGTCTCCCTTGTTGTGTCCCTTGTTCAGTGGGAAGGGTGGTTTAGGCCCAGAATTAGGCGGAGAGCACTGGAGTCCGTAGCTTTGGAATGTGCTCTTGGGAATTAGTTAAACTTGGGGGAGAGGATTTGAGCTAGATGCAGTGGCCAAGGAGATTTAGGCAAACTGTTCTCAGATTTGTATGAAAAAAATTATTTTTCCTAAATTAAAAATTCTCATTGTGAAATTTCTTGTAAGAAAACAGGAAAACATTTTGACTTAGCTTGTCAGAAAACATACAACTTATTTCAGGTTATTTCTTCTTGCAGACATATTTTTAAAAACATAACAGGAACAAAATTAAGACTGGGTTCAGCATTTGCTGAACAGAGGAGTGGGATTGATGCTCTGGGCAATGGCCTCTCTTGGCATGCTTGTTCACAGCCCTGGCTCCACACCTGCTAGGGAGAACATCCTGAAGTCAGATTTCCCTCCCTCACAGGAGGGAAACACATCACTTTTAATTCCTCCCAACTTCTGCTGCACTCCCTAGGGTTCCTTCAAATCCAGAACTCAGTGCAATCTTTTATTCTTTTTCAAGATCATGATTAGAGTTGGTGTGAGATTCTTGTTTTTGCGTTTCTGCAGGATATCATATTTCCTTTCTGTTTTGCCTTACGATTGTGTGATATTTTGAATAAAATAAAACAAAAATTATTGGTGATATGTGTTTCCTATTGTCTAGGCTTTGGTTAAAAAAAATCTACATTTTCTTATTTTGGTTCATTTTTTATATTTCACATCTCTTTGCTCACAGCACTGATCACAATTGTGATTAGATAGTGTGCTGGCTAAATTTATGTCAACTTGACAAATACTATACTCACCTGAGAGGAGGAAACCTAGATTGAGAAGATGCCCCCATAAGATTGGCCAACCTGGGGGGCTGGAGAGGTGGCTCAGAGGTTAAGAGAACTGGCTGCTCTTCCAAAGGTTCTGAGTTCAATTCCCAGCAACCACATGGTGGCTCACAACCATCTGTAATGAGATCTGGTGCCCTCTTCTGGCCTGCAGGCATATATGCAGACAGAACACTATATACATAATAAATAAATAAATTTAAAAAAAAAAAAAAGATTGGCCAACCTGTACAGCATTTTCTTAATTAGTAATTAATGGGGGAGAGCCCAGCCCATTGTGGGTGAGGTCACTCTGGGCTCATGGTCCTGGGTTCTATAAGTAAAGCTGAACAAGCCATGATGAGCAAGCCAGTAAGCAGACTCCCCCTCCCCCAGCCTCTGCATCAGCTTTTACCTCCAGTTTTCTGTACTGTTTGAGTTTCTATTCTGGCTTCCTTCAGTTATGGACTGCAATGTGGAAGTGTAAGCCTGATGAGCCCTTTCCTCCCCAACTTGCTTTTTGGTCATGGTATTTGGTTGTAGTGATAATAACCCGACTAAGACAGAGAGCTAATAGTTGACTTCAACTTAAGTAATGTCAGTATCTGTTGAGTGAATGTAAATCTGAAGAGTGCCAGGCTTCTCTATATCTTCACCTCTGTACCTTCATGTGGGCATACTGCCTGGAACACAATTTCCCCAGACAATTTCTGTGGGAGGAAGACACACTGAAGAGAACTGCAGTGCGACGAACAGCTGGTCGTCACCCAGCGACAATCAGAAATGATTTGTGGACCTGGAAACTTTCTCCAAGAAATATTTTGGGAAGAAGATCTGACAGAAACATCAGCTTTTCAGTTATGAAGCTAAGGAGAGTGACAGCAATTGTAACCTTGACCTTAAAATAGGCTTGTGACTCATACGCTGGTCACGGTGCTATGGGACTCTGAGACTTCAGGTTTTAAAATCTCTAGACCTTATACGTTTCTTCTGCTAGGTTCCCCGCGACAACTGGGTAGCTCAGTCCTTTGGATCAGTTTTAAAAATGTTACTTTGATGCGTTTCTTTTACAAATCTTGTATGTTTCGTAAGCCCCATCCGCCCTGGCCTGAGTCAAGGGAGCGCCTTACTCCAGTTGGTGATTCTTAATTGGAACCATCCAGCAAATGAGTGTCAGTTTGGGGGCCCGCAGACGTGTCTGCAGAGCGGAGTTTGTTTACACTTTGCCAGTGTCATCATTTACAAACTTCAAAAAACACATTGACAAATTCCCTAGCTGTTTTGGCAGCGTTTCCATCAATCACCCATCTAATAGCACCAACATTTCTCCTGGGCTATTATAGTCACTTCAATCGCTGCTGCTGCAGCTTGAGGAGGAGATAAATCAGAAGGGTTCTTTCCGAGGGTCTCGAGTACAGCACCGGTTCTATTAACCAGCGTCTCCCTCCTTGCTCTCTCTCTCTGCCCTTCCTCCAACCGCCCATAAACAACCCTTTCTGCTTTGTACTGCCTTAGATAAAGTAAGCTGGATCTATGGCTTTCCCTTTGAGGGCCCCTTGCCACGTCATTGGGTAATGGGTCCATTTATTACTTTGGTTTTTTTGTGTGTCCTCTCTAGTTACTCTGTGCAGCCCTCTCAAATCAATAAGTGTATTGTGTTTCTGCCGACAACAGGTGCCTGGCTTCCCAGGCCCAACACACCCTCTGAGAGAAGCTCACATGTCTAATGACCACAGCAGGAAAACCTGAAACCGTTTTGCCTTTCAACCAGGTTCTTTGTGCTGCGGTGTCAGGGGCGGCAGCTGGGTCTCGGAGTGGGAGGCCAGAGTGGCCCCGCTTTTCTCTGTTAGGGTTGCTTTCCATTGCACAAGCCTCGCTGCTTTTTCAGAAGGAAGAAATGGCGAAAACCCAGTCAAAGACATCCTCCATGCTGACTTGATCATCTTCTCTTGCAAAGAGTGTTTGCCCGTTTTCCCTTCTAACTGACCATTCTTAAGTAAGATTGTGATTAAAACAACAAAACCCCTACCTTCTCCAGCGTCCTCACCATTAAGAAGCGTGGCCATGTCTTCTCCCTTCCCTTCACATGGGGGAGCCTGGATGGAGAACAACAAGCATTTGCCAAACTTGGCAGCTCAGGTGAGGAGGGCTGGCTGAAGCTCTGCTGCCTGCCCACCTGGAGCGCTTGCTGGCTGTGGTGCCAATGGAGGACATACAAACCCTAGACTGAATTACAAGTTGCTGCTTGAGCGATACTCCTCGCTCTATCACTGGGGGCCCCATTCATCCTGTATGAGCCGTGGTTCTGGACAAAGCACCAACAGCAGCCTGTTTGCAAATCTTGGCTCCGTACCTGAGCAACCTATTAATCAGAATTTCAGCTGGGCCTTGGGAGCATTTTTCTTTCATGTGTAAGTCAGAGTGCTGACCGTGGAGGGGGCTCCATGTAAATGATGCCGTCAGCTTGATGCATGAGGCCTGAGTCTGTGTTCATAGTGAGTATCATTTGCCCTAAAAAGTGATTCTGGATGCCTGAGCTGCTTGAAGTTGTCTCCACTCCACTATTAGCAGCACAATCTTCAGTTGCTTGCTCTATCTTGATGCAAAAATGACCAAAATACCCATGTTCACTGTACATTTGAAAAGATTTTTCAGTTAAAAAAGCTCTGACCTCTATGTTTCTCAAAGCACTCTTAATCGAGGTAGACTTTTGCCCAAGCTCTAAATGATGGGCTGAAAGCTGGTTTTAGTTGTCTTACAGAATTAACTACTTGTGGAAGAGAAAGCATTCACAGAGACAACTGGCTGATTAGAATTCACTGACCTCATAAGGAAGGATTATTTTTGAACTCCGCTTTAGCGTCAGTAATATGAGAAATGCTTAGGGAAGGGAAAGAATCGACATGTGTTCCTTGTGTATGTTGATGATTTTATTTATATGAGATCTAAAATTGTGACAATGAATATAAGTATTTACAGTAGACAGTATTTTCTTCTTTTTTTTGTTGAAAAAGAAATTTTATGCAATGTATTTTGATGTGTTCCCCTCCTCCAATCTTCCCAGATCTTCTCCTCTTCCCTCTCCATCCCAAAATGTCTTTTTTTCTCTTTCAAAAAAACAACAAACAAAACTATAAGAAGTAAAAGGAAAAAAAAAAAAACCCCAGAAGCCTACAAAACACAAGCAAAACAAACAAACAAATAACAACTGTAGCTAGAGTTTTCCGCCTTGCCCACAGTCAGGACAAATCTTTGTCACCCGCCAGTCCCACAGCCGCTCAGACCCAACCAAGTAAACACAGAGACTTATATTGCTTACAAACTGTATGGCCGTGGCAGGCTTCTTGCTAACTGTGCTTATAGCTTAAATTAATCCATTTCCATAAATCTATACCTCGCCACGTGGCTGATGGCTTACCGGCATCTTCACATGCTGCTGGTCATGGCAGCGGCTGCAGTGTCTCTCTGCCTCAGCCTTCAGCTTCCCAGAATTCTCCTCTCTCCTTGTCCCACCTACTTCCTGCCTGGCCACTGGCCAACCAGTGTTTTATTTATTGACCAATCAGAGCAATTTGACATACAGACCGTCCCACAGCAAACAACAATCAAGAAAAAAACCAGTAAGAAAAGGAAAGTAAAATAAAGCAACTGAAACAAAAATCCCATTGAGTTCATTTTGTTAGTTTACTACTTCTGGACATGTGACCTACCTTGGTGTGAGGTTGATACATCCATAGGCATTCCACTGGAGAAAACTGATTTTCCCTTTGCCAGTAGGTATCAACTCCAGAAAGTTTCTTGGTTAGGGGTGGGACTCTACATTCACTTCCACTCTCAGTGCTGACACTCCATCTGGCTTGAATATGTACAGGTCTTGTAGATGCTGCCACAACTTCTATGAGTTCATTTGTGGACACTGTTTCCTCGAAGTGATCCATCAGCACTGGTTATTACAAAGTTTCTGCCTGATCTTCCAAATAAGACCCTGAGCCTTGAGGGAGGTGTTTAATGAAAACATCCCATTAGTACCAAATGTGTCAAAGTTTCTCATTCTCTGCACATTGTCCAGTTGTAGGTCTCTGTGTTAGTGTTAGTTCTCAACTACCCCAGGAAGATTTTTTTTTTTTGATGAGTGTTCAGTGATGCTCTGGTCTATGGGTATAGCACTGTGTCATTGTGAGTCATTTTATTGCCATGTTCTGTAGTATAACAGTAAGTTTAATCCTAGGCCCATGACCTATCTAGTCTCTGATTCTTGGCCAGTTTAGCAGCATCAGGTATGAGTCACATTTCATGGAGTGGGCCTTAAATCCAATCAGGAAGTAGTTGGTTACTTGTATAACATTTGTGCCATGATTACACTATATATTTTACAGGTAGGTCACTATTGTAGGCCACAGGTTTTGCAGATGAGTGATATATTTATAATTACCTTTCTCTACTCATGGTTGGCATAGTACTTTCCAGTAATGTAAACACTAGTCAGTAGGGACGAATCTTCCAGTTAGGCCCTGACTGGACTTCTCTGTGTTCAGTACCAAGAGTAAATGTTGTCTTTAGCAATAAGGCCATACCATCAAGCTTTAGAGACTAACCAATAATTTGGCAATCACTTGTGGTATTTCGGGGTTTCCATGGGGCTCCTTTGGTCAAGAATTCAAAGAGATGAAACCCATTTCTGGCACTGGAGATTTTACTTGGTGGCATAAGATGTCTAGTTGGGGCCTTGTCTTCCCTATTGTTTGGTGATACCACTTAGATTTCTCTCTCATATATATATGGAAGTTTCTACAGTAGTAGGTTTCCATATGGTTTTTCAAATGGCTATTAGTGTTAGTTGCCTCTTTATATTCCCCCTTTACCCTTTCTCCCAACACTCTCCCTAATTATCTGTCCTATTCTAGTTTTCTCTTTGTTTCTCCATAGCATTATATTCTATTTACCCCTCCTTGGAAGATCTTCTCCCCTCTGGTCCCTCACTAAGTACCTAACATCTGTGCTTATTCTGACTGTAGTACACATATCAAAAACTTAAAAGCTGGCATGCATATAAGAGAAAACACAAAATATTTGTCTTCTAGGATCTGGGTTACCTCACTCAGAAATATTTTTTTCTGGCTTGACTCACCTGCAGATTTTACATTCTTGTTTTTCTTAACAGTTGAATAATAGTCCATTGTATAAATGTACCACATTTTCATTATCCATTCATAAATTGATGGACATATATACTGTTTCCAATTTCTGGCAGCATTGAACAAGGATTAACAGATGTTACAGGGAGTCCACCAGAGATAAACAGTCACATATAGTTTATAGTCAGTAGAAAGTCTTTATTCCAGCTGGCTGGGACTACATTTCTTGGGACAGAAATGGAGCCTGAGTGTCCCCTGCATGGGGTTTTTGAAGGGAAAAATCCATGTCCTAACCCCTTGCTCAGTAGCTGCAGAGGGGCTTTGCAAAAGCCTACAGATGAATAGAAGGGCAGATAAACAGTTAGATGTAGGGGGTTCTACATAAGCAGGTGGTTTAACAGAAGCTAAGATAAGCTTGCTGGGGGCATTTTGATCCTGGGCTCCAATTTTTTCACGGGATCTCCACTGAGGAGTTCAAATTCTAGTTAAATCTGAAATGGCCTCAGCAATAATACAAGATGGAATCACTTCTTCATTGTCTTTCCCTGTCACACAAGTGTCTTTGTAGGAGGATGTGGAGTTCCTTGTGTATATTCCCAAGGGTAGTATAGCTAGATCTTGGGATAGCTCTGTTCCTAGCTTCCTGAGATGCTCCCAAACTGATTTCTATGTAGCTGTACATGTTTAAACTCCCACTATCAGTGAAAAAGTGTTCTGCTTTCCCCACATCTTCGCCTACATGAACTGTGATTTATTTATTTAATTGATCTTTGCTTTTCTGACTGGGGTAAGATGAAACCTCAAAATAGCTTTGATTTGCATTTCAGAAATGTCCAGACCAGAGGTAAATGGCATGTTACAGAGATTACTCAAATAGCTGCCCTATCCTAAAGAATCTAACTTTAGTATCTGAAATGTTCTTAGTTAAGATGTGAGAGGTATTATATCTGTAACTATCTAGCCTTCAAACCCATCAAAGACCTGAGAAGGAAAATAATATTATCTGAGAAAATAGGAAGCACAAGCAAGCAATTTCTGAAAAATTTCAAGAATTGACAGAGATAGCTGGTAGCTATTCATAACTCTGAGAAAATAAGCCTTATTGGGAGAGTGAGCATCGTTGTCTTAAAATTGCTTCCTGTTGTCTAGGGGCGATGGCAACTCTATGGGATCCTGTAAGAAAGCCAAATGGTTAAGTCTCAGAAGGACTAGCTGTAAAGTTTGTAGCTAGTCTCAGAGTAATGGGTAAGATTATCTGAAGTTCTAGCTAGATGTGTAATATGATGGACCATCTCATCTTAGAGTTGTCCTGAAGAGTTTGCAGTCCAAAGCTGATGATTGAGTGGTGTTTTTTGGCATTGTTATGGACATGGTAGGGTTGTTGTTGTGGGGCCCTATCTTCCTTCTGGATATTTCAGAGATTGCTAATGGAAAGATTTATTTTTAATTGTGGAATTCTTGAACATTATTAATTTCACAACAGAGAGTTTGAAATTTTAGGAAGATGTCACATGTGAGGAAGGATTTCCAGGAATCAAGAATAAACATAGAGAGAAATAGAATCTTGACAACAATGGTCCCTAGATTATTGTTTATCTTCTTGGCTCTTATGATGTGAGACAGAATTTCCTAATTTTTTTTAGAAACATATTTGGATTTAGAGAAGGAGAGAGCCATATTTCAACTCTAAATCTACCTTGATTTATACTTGAATCAGGACCACAACTTTTCTAGAGTTAAAAAGATATTGATGTTAGGCAGTGAGATATTACCCTGTAGAGTATATTGGTACCAATAGGTCCTTCCCTTTTGTTTAGACATCTAGGTGTCCAAGGTCTTTTGATTTCTTGAAGATGGGTATTTCTATTTTTCGGTAAAGACAAAAATCAGAACCCTGCCCCAAACTTTGTTTGTTGAGTTTTCCTTTCAACTTGTAGAGATGTCACATTGGTGGATGAGCTATCACTTCTCATCAAGGGGTTTCTCTTATTCAAATCAATTTTTTTTTATTAATTTTGTTGGTATCCATAGCTTTTCTTCTTATTCAGAAACAAAAGCAAAACCCCTTCCCCAACATAGGACATAACTTGGTTTCCATTCCAAGGTCAACATATCTTTGAAGTAAACAGGCTGGTTTAGCTCAGAAGTTTTTTCTATTATCCAATGCCTCTCCACAGTTGTTGTCTCTTTCTCATCAGCATTGAGAAAATTCAAGGTTAATAAAGCATTATGTAATCTATTTCTAGGGGTCATTGTTACCTCTTTCTGTTTATTTAGCATATCCTTTAAAGTTTGATTAGATCTTTCTAGGACTGCTTGGCCTGTAGGATTAAGTGGTATACCTTTGCTATGCTTTATATTGTAATGAGCAAAAAACTGTTTTATTTTACTTGAATCATATGCTGGAACATCGTCAGTCTTAATTTGTACAGGTATTCCTATAATGGCCATAGCCTCTAATAGGTGTGTAATTATAGAATCAGCCTTTTCAGAACTCATAGGAGTTGCCCATTGAAATCCTGACCAGATGTCAATGGTATGGTGTACATATCTTTATTTTCCAAATTCTGCAAAATGAAACACATCCATCTGCCAAATTTCATTTTTTTAGACTTGCTTTTTGTCCTAATATGTGATAAATTTTGGAGAAAGTCCATTAGTGGCTGTGAAGAAAGCTTATTCTTTAGTGTTTGGTTGGAATGTTCTATAGATGCTTACCTTGTCCGTTTGGTTTATGAAATTATTTAGTTTTTGTTCAGGTAACCTTTCTATTGGTGAGGATGGAGGATTGAGTTACCCAGTGTCATTGTCAAAGGTCAATATGTATTCCTTTCATGAACTTATCTGCCTTTGTGTTTGGCACGTAAATGTTTAGAATTGCAATATCCTCTTGGTAATTTTTTTCTTTTAGTGAGTATGTAGTGTCCTTCCTTGTCTCTTCTGATTAGTTTTGGTTTGAAGTCTATTTTGTCAGATATTAAAATGGCTACTTGGTTCTTGGGTTCATTTGTTTGGAATATCTTTTCCAATCTTTTTGCCCTGAGATGATGTCTACCATTGATGGTAAGGTACCTTTCATGAATGTAGCAGAAGGATGGATCATTTTTCTAATATATTCTACTACTCTGCATCTTTTTTATGGGGAATCAAGACTATTTATATGGAAAGTCATCAATGAGCAATGTTTACTGGTTTTTATTATTTTGTTGCCATAATGTGGGTTTCCCCACTTTTGGTTTACTGTTATGAGATTATTTATTCCTTTTTATTCCTGTGTCTTTTTGGGTGTGGTTAACCTCTTCAGACAGAAGTTTTCTGTTTTTTTGTTTTTTTTTTTTGACACAGGGTTTCTCTGTGTAACAGCTCTGGCTGTTCTGGAACTTACATTGTAGAACAGGCTGATCTTGAACTCATAGAGATCTGCTTCTCCTGCTCCTCCTTCCAAGTGCTAGGATTAAAAGTGTGTACCATCATGCCCAGATGAAGGTTTCCTTCTATTGCCTTCTTTAGTTCTGGATTGGCAGATAGAATTTGTTCAAATTTGATTTTGTAGTGGAATGTTTTATTTTCTTTGTCAGTTTTGATAGATGGTTTTGCTGAATATAGCCATCTGTACTGGCACTAATGGTCTCTAAGAGTTTGTAAAACATCTGTCCAGGCACTTCTGGCTTTCAGAGTCTCTGTGGAAAAGCTCGGTGTTAGTTTAATGGGCCTACCTTTCTATGTGACTTGGGCTTCCCTCCTGCAGTTTTTAATATCTTTTCTTTGTTCATTACATTTAGTGTTTTGATTATTATGTGGGGGTATTTCTTTTTCTAGTCCTATCTATTAGGAGTTCTTTATGCTTCTTTTACCT